GGGAACTGTTGTTCACATGCATGAAGTCTCCGTTCATCCTTGGAATGGTAAAGAGCAGTGCGCCCAGCGGAAGCAATGCAGCCCTTTGAAAACCGTGGCCCTGTTAAACTGGAATTATTTCAAAAGCTTTGCTTCCCAGTAAACTGTGCCTTCGCAGGTCCACGTAGCCTGGTGTGCTGGAGAGACCTGGCAGAGCTTCCTGCCTTTCATGTGAAAGAAAACCGAATACATAAGCCATGCTTAGTGTTGCCTTTCCTTGGTCTGCTGCTTTCATTAGCACATGTGATCGGAAACAGCAACAGGGTGGCATTAGCATCTGGAGGGGTTGGCTTCTCCCTGGTGGGCTTCAGCTGGTGGATGGTTCTTGAGGGGTCTTCCATTTGATCCTTAGTTGAAAAAAAAAAAAAAAAATCCGAGACCTCCTTGTGGCCTGGTGGCAGTAGGAAGGTACAGAGACCTCGTAGAAAAAAAGTGTGCGAAATGAACAATTATACGTGGATTGGTGATTTGTCACTTGGGGAAGAGGTGTGTACATGCAGTAGCTTTTGAAACTGGAGGAGACTCCTTAACATAGTGTAGACCCTGGTATTAAAGTAACCGCCCGGAGACTGTCTCTGGAGGGGGGGGGTCAATAGAATCTGCTGTCCTGAATTTCCTAATCTGGAGGATAAAGCTGCATATTCTTTCTTCCTCCTGAGTTGTTTCCATGGATTCAGAGACCAGAAAGTCTCTTCAAATTTAGTTCATCCTCGTGATAAAAGGAAATATATAGATTTTCTAGCTTGTAAAGTATGGACATAAAAAAGATAAGGTAGCATGCGTGTAAACGCGGAATTTAAATACTAGCTGTCGTTTTTTAGGTGTAAGTGGACTTCTAGTTCTTCTCTCGTTTCATACCGTTCAAGTCAAGGGTCTAATTCCATATTTAGCCAATTTCTCTTCGCCCTGATTTTTTTCACAGGGTACCAGGCTTCAGTATTAGGCTTTGGGGGATTCTTTGTCTGATGGGAGCCTGACTAGAGTTTCTGCTGCTTCAGCGCCGGCCGGGGATTGTCACTGTTAAATTACCCTGCCTGTTAAATTACTCCCCTCAGGATGGTTATTCTCCGTTTGGCGGAACTTAGAGAGCGCACTCACCTCACACTGCAGATTTCATAAACTCAACAGGGGCGGGCGCTGCCCTACTCAGGACTCAGCGCTCAAGTTCAGGGTGTGTGGTCAATCATTTTATGCCTGATATTGTTTGAAGTTATATTTTATTTACATTGGCAGAGAGCCTTCCCTCCCCCATATTTCGCTCTTTCCCCCTAAATTGATGATTTGCACTTCAAGGATGCCTTTCCTTTGAGCATCTTAAATGCTTTAAAATTTTAATCATGTTAAGTCTCCCCTGGGCCTTGGTATGTTGGCAGTGGAGAGAGGAAGCAGAGATAGGAAGAGACTTCTGTCGAAATAAACCTGCCTCTGGGTGAAGTGTGGCTCTTCAGGTCGGAGAGGGAAGGGTTTTCCAGTATGTGAAGCATGGTCTCTCCTGAGAGAGTGTGTGACGCCCAGGGCCCCTTGTCTGCGCTCCCACCGCACGCCCTTGGGAGGCAGGGAGAGCATTCCCGAGGGCCACGGCCACGGCCAGGGCCCGGTTACTCCCCAGCCCTTCCTCGATGAGTGGGTGCTGGAGGCCTTTGGGTAAGACCCGGAGGAGGCCTTCTGGGAGAGCGGGCTGGGCCTCTTCTTGGGGCGGTGGAGGGCCTCGCTTGGCTGGAGTGGGTACGCGTGGAGGATACAGTTGGAGGAGTTTGGGACTGAATCATAGAGGGCCTCAGATGCCAAGCTGACTTGTCGGTCCTTTCTTCGACTCACCACAGGGAAGCACTCGTGTTTTTTTGAGCTGGGTGATGGACACTTAAGGGGAATGGTGTGAATACATTTATCGACATTAAGACTAGCTTTCTGCTCCTTCCTGCTTAGTGACCTTTACTAATTACCGAACCTCTCGGACCCTCAATTTCCTCATCTTTATAGTGGGGATAGTTCTTGTAGCCAAAGACCAACTGCCACTAGGAGGTGTTGGCAAATAGTAGGTGCAGAATAGATGCTGTTTGGAGGGCTGGGGGGAAAGGAAGAAAGCCTAAATATCTACTTGAAAAGACGCTTAACTGTCTTCTTCTTGATCTCTGGAATTTTTTAAAAATCCCTCATCCATTCCTCCCAGATCGATTTGGTTGGTTCATTTGGGCTGGTGGCATGACCCCGACTCACATCAAGGACTGCCTTTTTGGGAAGTGGCCCGGACGTCTTGCCGGCTCTCTTGCCCCCAGCCGTGGTGTCAGAGCGGGGTTCCCGTCAGTGGACAGCCAGCGGGAAAGTGGGTGCAGGACACACCGTCCTTTGGTGGCCCTGTGAACCATGGGCGTGCTGGTCACGTCCCTGAGTGGGGCTCCCGCGGTGAGGGTGCCGGCCTGCCCCCCACTCCCTCCAGGCTCTGGGCGCCCAGTCACCCTCCGCCCACAGCCTTGCCCCTCCTGGGGGGAGGGGAGGTGGCTTTCATCACCCACGCGCTTTTGTGGGCATCAGCAGATCTGTGAATGTGTCTGCTGGGGGTGGCGGTTGGGAAGGGGGACCCAGGCCGCATCCGGCCAGCTAGAGTCAGTTAAAAAAATTCCAGTTGAAAGGAGAGTTTGAAGTTGAGGTCGTGAGTGCAGTATTGGGGGAAAACCACCGTAGAGCCAGAGAAGCTGACAAATGACCCTCTATGAGAAACTTTTCTCTAAAGAAAATTAAAGTTTCGCTCTTCTGGAGTGATGCCATGCTGTCTCTGGGGCTCACACACGGTGGAAGCCGGCTGTGACTGACGGCGCAGAAGTGATGGGCTCTTCCCCCAGCCTTCTGGTGAGAGTGAGGAAGAGCCTGCCGCCTCCTGCCCCCAGCACCGAGGGGGCCAGCTTGCCTGGGCTGCGGCAGACCTCGGGGTGGAGTCCGGGGCACCCAGGGGGCTGTTAGTGGTGTGGGGAGGCTTCAGGCCCCCTGTGACTCTCCCCACCCTAACTCCTGGCAAGTGGTGGGTCCCCTGTTTGGATCAGAGGAAGAGGTATTTGAGAGAAGGCCAGAAAAACAATGGCACGGTGAGCCGGGAGATGTATACATACATATGTAGTTTCATGTGTATAATTTCTCGTTCCTGCCATTCGTGTTTCTGAGATCTTTGGGGAGAGAGAAGTCACTTTGGGAAGGTGTGAGTTTCAAAGCGGGCAGTGCCCCGCTGCCTAACTTCCAGCAGATCCAGCGGCTGTTGGCTTAGTGGAAGGAGGGGCGCGGTGAGGCTGCCTGGGGCAGAGACCAGGCACGCACAGGAGCTGACTGCCCAGGTTCTGGCCGAGATCCGGGAAGAGGCAAGGTGTTTCTGGGAAAAATCTGTGAAGTCTCCTCGCTGGCCCAGCAGAAATCATGAGGTGAGAAAACAGCCAAACCTGGCCAAGCCCACGCCCCCTTTTGGTTCTTCCACTTTTCTCCTCATGGACCCTCTCCTGGAAGCTCTGCTTGCGTGGGTGATGCTGAGACATACAAGCCGGGCGGATGTCCAGGTGGAAACACACCCACAGGCACGCTGTACACATGCCATAGTGAGATCCTTCCATA